AATCCTCAGCCCCGACAATAAACTTGGAATGTTGGTACAATGCATGTAACACAACTTTCGGTAAAAAGATTCTTAACGTGTTGGTACAAAATACGTGTCACCCCTGAACTCCTTTGCGTTTGACATCACAAGCTTGATCAAACATAAACCTCTACCCTATACTTACACACTCATCCAAACCTCCGGAAATAACATTGACGTGTTAGTACTCTGTTCGTGACTCAGAACTCCTTGCGGTGAAGAGAACAGATTCTATTTAGCACGTTTGCATTGTTGTTGGTCTGTGTTCGGCATCAGCAGCGGAGAAAGGTAGACGATCTCTTCAAACAGCGTAACAAAGATTTCATCAGTGAGCTGTCTGACAATCAGTTACCGCGTTGAAGGTAAAATCGAGTTTGTTTTGAAAATAGTTGTACGTGCGTGAGTCCACCGGCTGTGGTTTGAGTAATTTTACAATTTCAAATTCCTATTTCTGTCGAATTTTTTTAATCAAAGGAGCCATTTTTAATTTTATCTGAAACAAATCTGAAACAGTACCAAACAGCAAGTTTTAGCAAGCCTTGTATAATAATAAAGCCTTTTATTATATTATTTGATAAAGCGCACGTATTTCTTTTCAAGTAAGTGTTTGCCTTAGATATGTAGAATACTTGCCTTCGTAAGAACGTACTAACTCTCTAGACGCACACCTCGAATTATATCGATCTTGATGATTAAAGGGGGTAGGTTTCTCAAAAAAAGTGTGGTGCTGCGTCGCTGGGTGGTATTATGAACTGGGCTGGTAATGTAAATTGGCACCCTGCAAAGCTGACGAGCGTTTGCTCTTCATCGTGATCAAAGGGAATGATTTAGGCACGATTTAAGCTTATTTGGAAAGCTCAGCTGAAAATTATATAGTACAAATTGTGAAATGCCACGCAGTCTCGACGCAAACATTTTTGAATACGTAACACGTAAGACTTACATATTACAATATTCACACAGCAACACGCACAATTCACCTGCTGTCAGTTCTAAGTTGTAAATAAATTCAGAAGACATACGTATCTTGACGGTTAGCGGCCGATGAAGAGCAATGTTTCGTATCAACTTATGTGTATGAATGAAAAACTTGCCTTTTGAGGTCTATGTGTTACGAATTTTACTAAAAAATTCGAACTAAATAAAAAAGGGTCATCTCGAGGCAATCTCGTATTAGTTTACATAAAAATTATCTCGTGTCACGTTCGTCACGCATGGAATGAACTCGAGTGTGAGTTAACATATAGGCGTGCTCAATAGCTGACATGTATCGGCTTCCGGAGACCAACATTACGATCGTGTACTATTCAAGGAACGCCATTTAACAAAACACTTTAAACTATGGCCATTTTAATCGCTATGGCGCTTCGGAAAATTCAATTCTGCTGACAAAATTTGCATTTAGAGTTATCACTTTGGCCACCCGTGCCCGCCGGTGATGCTTTAATGTGTTAATGTTCATGTAGAATTTAAAATCTACAGTTAGTATCATTAACACTCCTTCGTTTCCTTTAGTAAAAATCTGCCTCCTACCTAGTTCTCCGAGTATTTAACTTTCAGATACCACATGAAACCTTCAAAGACAGCC